GCTGACCCCCCACCTCTTCAATCTCTGCAGCAACGCTGACAGCACTCCTGCGCTTTTCTTAGATAGCATTTGGATGTGACGCTGTGCACGTTCACTCAGCTTCTTTGGACGTCCAACACGAGCCCTGTTGTGAGTGCATCCTGATTTTTTAAAACGCTGGAGGATCTTGGCCACTGTACTGCAGCTCAACTTCAGGGTGTTGGCAATCTTCTTGTAGCCTTGGCCAGCCTTATGTAGTGCCACAATTCTTTTTTTTTAAGGTCCCCAGAGAGTTCCTTGCCATGGTGTGCCATCTTGGGAGTTTCAGTGACCAGTATGACAGAGTGTGAGAGCTGTACTACAAATTGAACACACCTGCTCCCTATTCACACCTGAGACCTAGTAAGAGTAACGAGTCACATGGTATTTTGGAGGGAAAATGACAAGCAGTGCTTTGTTTGGACATTTAGGGGTGTAGTGTCTTTAGGGTGTACTCACTTTTGTTGCCAGGGGTTTAGCTATTAATGGCTATATTTTGAGTTTTTTTGAAGGGAAAAATAAATTTACACTGCTATATAAGCTTTACACAGACTACTTTTCATTGTGTCAAAGCGATGTTTCTTCAGTGTTGTTCTATTAAACATTATAATGAAATCTCTGCAGAAATGTGAGGGGTGTACTCACTTTTGTGACATACTGTATACATATATAGTATATTTGTGTATATATTTATATGTATTATTGTGCATCTTGACAGTGGATTATAGAATCCAAGAGTTTCTTTCAAAACATCCCTGAAGTTGTTGTCCACAACGATATTATTCAGTCTACAGTCCCACACAGTCCATCTGTCAATCATGTCAGTCTCCCTGTCAGTCATAGTCTTACTTACTGTCCTGATGTCAGTGAGGCTGGTCTGACGCAAGCCAGACATCTGACCTGAAAATGAAGCTTCCACAAACGAGTGCTGGGAGTTGAGATGGTATTTTAAGCTGGAGGTTGTTCACTTTAACACAGTGTAACTGTGTATTCTCCACATACATGTCTATTTCAGATGTTTTGCTGCTAATAAAGAAAAGACCTCCACCTACGCCTCCAAAGATGGCAGACATTAGTGCAGAGGAAAAGGTAGGCTCATTGGAGTCATGTCAAATTAAATACCGTATCTTCTTTATTCCCTAGTACTTTGAATATTTTTTAACTCACTTATTGTTTTTTTTTCCCTGTAGAAGAAACAAGAAACCAAGGCTCCAGACAAAGAAGCAATCCTTAAAGCCACTGCCAACCTGCCCACACGCCACACTGACCGCACTGTCACCCAACACAACATCAGAGATGTGAGGACACCACACTCACGTATCAATAAATATACGTTGGTATTTTGTATCATTTTAATCAGTGAAGTTTGAGATATTAATCTCGCGTTCGCTCTGTTTCAGTTCCAGACGGAGCTCAGAAAAATCCTGGTTTCTCTAATCGAGGTCACCCAGAAGCTGTTAGCCCTGAACCCTGATGCTGTGGAACTCTTCAAAAAGGCCAATGGTAAATTGTTCAGCTCCTTCGGTTTACTGTTTTCTTTTAATTCTCTGCAGGCTGATGATAAGTACAGTAAGAAACACAGACAAAGGATAGTCTTTTTAGGGGCGTCTCCGTCCACTTTAAACTTAGTTTACCACTTTGGGCTAATCCAGTCTGTGGCAGAAGACTAGACCTGACCAATCGCACAATGGTTTCAAAAGAGAATGAGAGATATTGTGGTAGTAGACACTCTTCTTACCATCAACATTGAACCCATTTGAATACCATTGCAAGTGGAACTGATTCAAAAAGAACAATAACAGTACCATTTTCGACCCTCTTGTTGACTAGTTTTATTTCTAGAACATACCCTGTGGGTACCTTAGGTAGTCCACGGGGGCTACCAGGTGACCCCGGGCACCACGTTGGTGACCCATGTGGTAGAGACTCGCTTAGCACAAAAGGATTAGATCCAATAATCAAGTACTTTCATCGTTGTCTTAATGATATTTCTAACAGTTGCTTAAGTTCTAGCTGCAGATTTCAGATTTGTTACTCTCTGTGTACTGCAGCGATGTTGGACGAAGATGAAGAGGATCGAGTGGACGAGACGGCCCTCCAGCAGCTCACTGAGATGGGCTTTCCAGAGAGCAGGGCCATCAAAGCTCTCCGACTAAATCAGTAAGTACACGGGTGTCGTCTCAGCACCGACAGCACAACAGAACAGGTCATCTGATGCCACCTGTCCGCAGCATGGCAGTGACCCAGGCCATGGAGTGGCTAATAGAACATGTAGATGACCCTGCTGTAGACACGCCGCTTCCAAGTCAGGATTCCTCTGGGGGGGCAGCAGGGGCCACAGCAGCCGTCCCGCCGAGCACTTCCACCTCAGCTTCCACCTCAGCATCAGGGCCCAGTCTTCTCCACAGCCTCTCCAGGCAGTCGAGCATGGATGAGGGCAACAGACAAGACGAGCTCACAGAGATTTTCAAGAGGATCCGCAGGAAACGACAGTTCAGGCCGGACTCTAGAGTAAGATTGTTTGTCTCAAATACTTTCAAATACAGGCAGTCCCTGTACAATCAACTAGTGGTCGGAATTGTAAATGCAACACAAAAAATGAACCAATGTCATTAGTATTTGCATGTTAATTACAAGAACCCGATACAGTGCTGTAGAATATAGATACTGTATCGTGAAATGACATATCGCAATTTTTCAGTGAATAGATATATTCTTACACCCTTATTATAAACTGTATTTTCTGGACTATAAGTCGCTCCAGAGCATAAATCGCACCAACCTTAAAATGCATAATGAAGAAGAAAAAGAACTACTGCACTAGGTCTGGAGTATAAGCTGCACCTGTCAACTAGAGTGCCCTCTGGCGGCTGTCAATGTGAAAATAACGAACATTTTGGCAAACCCAGCCAAAGGATGAAAAAAAGTGCGATTTATATTCCGGAGAATACGGTAGTTTAATTCTGTATTGTATTGTTATAATCTGAGTGATCTTCTATATAAAAAAATCAAGGTTCACTCTCTGCATCAGTACAAACTAGCTCCTTCTCCACAGACGGTCATTGCATTGATGGAGATGGGCTTCAATGAAAAGGAGGTGATTGACGCCCTGAAGGTCAACAACAACCAACAGGATGCTGCGGTGCGTTCACACACACACACACACACTCAGCAGTTTGCGTCGCTCTGCGAGTTAGCGTTTGTCCCTCGTTTTTCACTCCTCACTCTCCCCCTACAGTGTGAGTGGCTGCTCGGAGACAGGAAGCCTTCTCCAGAAGACCTGGAAAAAGGCATTGACACCAACAGCCCCCTGTTCCAAGCCATCCTAGAGAATCCAGTGGTCCAGCTTGGCCTGACCAATCCCAAGACTTTGTTAGGTACACGCCGCTCCGTACATCGCACATTTCCTGTACACAGTAGGCATAAGGGAACCATATTGGTTTTTGATGTTTTTGAGAGACGGACTCTTTGATGCTGTGCGAATAAGTGAATAACACAGCTTAAAAGACAGATCTAAAATATGATACATAAATAAAATAAAATCTAAAATATACATTTCTGACATTCAAAAACAAATCAGTGACCAATATAGCCACCTTTCTTTGCAAGGACACTCAAAAGCCTGCCATCCATGGATTCTGTCAGTGTTTTGATCTGTTCACGATCAACATGCAGCAGCAACCACAGTCTCCCAGACACTGTTCAGAGAGGTGTACTGTTTTCCCTCCTTGTAAATCTCACATTTGATGAGGGACCACAGGTTCTCTATGGGGTTCAGATCAGGTGAACAAGGAGGCCATGTCATTAGTTTTTCTTCTTTTAGGCCCTTTCTTGCCAGCCACGCTGTGGAGTACTTGGATGCGTGTGATGGAGCATTGTCCTGCATGAAAATCATGTTTTTCTTGAAGGATGCGGACTTCTTCCTGTACCACTGCTTGAAGAAGGTATCTTCCAGAAACTGGCAGTAGGACTGGGAGTTGAGCTTGACTCCATCCTCAACCCGAAAAGGCCCCACAAGCTCATCTTTGATGATACCAGCCCATACCAGT